GTGACGGCGGTGGACCGCGGGCCGCGGCGCTACGGCCCGAAGGGGCGACGCGGCGGCGGCGGGCAGGTCGGGGTGACGACGGAAGACCTCGGGACGGTCGCAGGGACCGCGGGCCGCGGTGCTATAGCCCGAAGGGGCGGCACAGCGGCGGAGCGCGGGGTGGTGCAACCGCGTGGACGGCCTCGAGACGGCGGCGTGGACCGCGTGCCACGCTCGCTACGGCCCGACGGGGCGACGCAGCGGCGGCGCGAGGGTGGGTGCAGCCACGGGGACGGCCTGGAGTGGACGACCTCGGGGCGGCGGTAGACCGCGGGCCGCGGCACTACGGCCCAAAGGGGCGACGCAGCGGTGACACGGGTCGGTGCAGCCGGGAGGAGAACCACGGGGCGGCGGCGCTGCGGCCCGACGGGGCGACGCAGCGGCAGCCCGTTGCTCGATCGACGGAGGGGCGCGCTGAACTCGGAGACGATCTTCACGGGACCTGCGAAGGCGCGCGTAACCGACGGGCCAGGTCGGTGCGCGGCGTAGATGAGGCTGATAGCGGCGGCGAGCGGGTGATCAAGCCGATCGCGCGCGAGGTCGGGGACACCGCTCGGTGAAGGCGTGGTGGCGGCGGAGTCCGAGATGAAGCCGGCGGCGGCGGGCGGCAGGGCGGCTATGATTGGCCGCCGCATGGCGCGAGGCCGCCGGGTCGGGGTGATGCAGGAGTCCCGGTCGGAGCAAGCGGTGACGGCCGGCGTAGATCGACGGGCGGGCCGTCGCGCGAACGGCGGCGGTGAAGGGCCGCCGCATGATGCGAGGCCGCCGGGTCGGGGCGACCGGCGGGTAGACGCGTGGACGACGCGCGAGGCCGCCAGGTCGGTGAAGACGCCGGTGTAGTCGATGCCGAAGTCGGAGTAGAGGCGCACGGGGTCGACGGCGGCGGTGGGCGACGCAAACCGGATCACAAAGACCGGAAAACCAAAAAGTAGACGCCGATCAAAGCGACCAGCGAGAGAGAAAACCCGGATCAAAGGATCGGGAAAAAGACTCTCTAGGGCAGCCGGTCAACACGACCGGCGGACGAACCCTAGGTACGGGCGGTGCGGCCCCCGGCGGCGGTCAAGGAGGCCGACCGCCCCGGGGGCGGCGCGCAGGTGCGGAAGCGGTGGCGGCTAGGGTTTAGGATCGACTTGCGATAGATACCATGTTAGAAGGGAAAGAGGGATTGGTGGAATAGTTGTTGTATTGCTTGAGCCTCGTGGGCATATATATAGGAGTACAATGATCTACTTGGAGTACAAGGCAAGCCAGAATATTTCCTAGTCTAACCTATGTTTCCTAATACAATCAGGTTACTCAACAGGAAGCATATGGCCAACGGGCACAAGTGTACGCCTCAAGGTGCTAAAATAATTTAGACCATACATCCTGTGTCGTTTCATCGCGTCGCCAACATATATCCTGAATTCTGATACTGATCCCACAATCTGCTCATCCCACGTAAGCTTCTTTGGTACCCTGACATGACTTAGCCATTTGTGGTGGGATCTGTAGATCTTGATGTTATCGGCAATGAGGGAGGGGTCTCCAGCCTGCACGTATAGGCTGTTGATGTAATCCTCCATGTTGTAAGACAGATCGCGCACCTCATTCATCCAGCACCTGGCCGTCTGGGGAGGGTCCTCCAGTTGTGACAATGTATCAAGGCAGGAGCTTATCTCTTCAACATCTTCTTTGAGGAGCTGCATCTTAAGCTTGACACTCTCGGAGGAGCATCCTGGAGGAGGAGCTAGCAGCAGCATGTCCAACTTCCAGACAAGGGTTCTCATGGCGCCAAGTGAAGCACTGATCGGGGGCCCTATATAGTTAACAAATATCGATGTGTGCACTTGTACCCTATATAGAAAGGCACCCCTTAATCGTGTGAAAAAGCTAAATTATGCAGAAAAACATGGTCATGGAAATAAAACTATAAAGTAATTCAGGTGCCAAGGAAATCACTAGACTAGACTCGAAGAACTGATTCTAGCAAGTTGTTGACCATACAGATGCTCTCCTCCGTTGTTGGACGCTTCCCGGCGCGCCATGCGCATCTGAGATGCGGCGAGACGGCGTGCAGCTCGAGCAGCGGAATGGGAATTTGAGGGGACAGCGGTGATGGTACCACGTGCACGGCGGCTGAGGCATCGGTGTCAGACGACGTTGCAGGGAGTACGCGGGAGACCCGCCTGCTTCTTCTCACTCCCGTGCTCGAGTTGTAGGGAGGTAGAGCAGCATGAGAAGGATTTGGGATTTGGAAACGGTGGACCTTATGAAATTGTTGTGCTCGAACATTCAGGGGTTCAGCCATTTGGGCCGATGGCGTTAGTTTATTGTGGGTTGAAGGAGACGATTAGACAGGATTTCTCCCTTCAGGAGCTTCAGTGGCCGACTCGCCACTCGTTTGCGTGGCAATGCCTTCTAGCGACTGGCCACTCGGGTGGCATTCTGCTTGGTATGAAGGAGGACTCGTGGTTCTAAGTTTGACAGTAAGTATAGGGGTATGTATGAGAAGGCAAGGTCCTAGCTACGGTGAGATTGTACGCAAGTGTTTACGAGTTCAGGCCCCCTCGGAGAAGGTAAAAAGCCCTACGTCTCGATGCCCTGAGGCGGTCGACTGAAATATAGGAGTGTGTGTTACAGGGGGTGCGAACCCTTGTCCCAGAGGAGGGGGTGGCTTATATAGAGTGCATCAGGACCCAGCCCACCTCCGTTACAGGGGTTCAATGTACATAAAGATAGGGGGTTACTGATAACGCCGGCTATAAAGTGCTATTATTGACCTTTAAGGCTACGGAGTGAACGCTTGACCGTTGTTGTCCTGAATAACTCCTGGTCTTCTGTAGGTCGAGTGGTTTCTTATATGGTCAAGTGATAACAGGAGGGAGGGGTACCCAGGTGATATGACTGGTCGAGTGGATTGCACTCGACGCCTTCAATTGATACTCCCTGTTGTATCTTGGTTGTCTTTGCTTCTACGGTAGTGACCTTGGATAGGGCGTACTGGTCAGGCCTA